GTGATGAGTGTTTGACATGTTCTCTTTAGTTTTTACTCTTTTAGATGTTTTTTGTCTTCACAAACAAAAAGGGTTTTTTAGTAAATAGAGTTCTTATAATGCTTCTCTCTAATCATTTGAAGTTTGATCTTAAATTTCTCATTTTAGTTCTCTGTATCAGGAACTGGTACACTGTATAACTAAGTCAAACCAAACCAGAACTTATCATTAAAGTTATTTTATGAACCAAATGTACAATTCTAATTTGGTAGTTAAATCTCCAACTAATTAAAACAAACAAAATTGATCCAAATTTTCAAAATGTTCACCACTAAAACAGAACATCAAATCCATGTTTGTAATTAACAGATACATTATTTTGCACAGAGAGTAGAGCATACAACAGAACTGTTACAGTGGTTCTATCTTACACGAGGAGATTGATTGATAGAAGGCAAAGGAGAAGCAATAGGAGTTATGTGCAAGAGTGGCCGATCATAACTATACCTCCTCGGCGATTTCTGTACAACGGAGCCACCATTACTACCTCTCGGTGAATCAATCTGACCTTGTCTTGTTCCAACTCCGGTACTACCTCTCGGTGAATCAATCTGAGCCTGTCTTGTTCCAACTCCAGTACTACCTCTAGGAGAATCAATCTGAGCTTGTCTTGTTACAGCGCCAGTGCTACCTCTCGGTGAATCAATCTGACCTTGTCTTGTTACAGCACCAGTACTACCTCTCGGAGAATCAATCTGACCTTGTCTAGTTCCAGGTTTAGTGGTTGTTGATTCAAGCTGATCTAATTTGGCCAAAACATCTGACATTTTCGGTCTGAGTTTTGCATCCGGGTTTAAGCATTGCAATGCAAGATTAGCAGCTGTGTATGCTCCTTTTTGAGGATACTGACCGCCTAATCTCGTGTCCATTATTCTAAAGAGCTTTCGCTTGTCCCCAAGATACGGTGTTGCCCAATCTACTAGACTTTGTTCCATTCCCACTTTTGATTTGTCCACGGCTCTTCGTCCTGAGAGTAATTCCAGCAGTACCACGCCGAAACTGTATACATCGCTCTTCGCTGTTAACCGACCTGTAGATGAAAATCAGATTTAAGCTTAAGAGTTTTACGAAGTGAAGTGTATGCGCTGCAAAGGCTAAAGGGCTAAAAACTTTTGAAGCAAAGACTATAAAATTTTGAAGCAAAGGCCAAAGCTTCTCACCTGTGGCTACATATTCAGGGGCAGCATAACCATGAGTACCCATGACTTGCGTGGACACATGAGTCTTGTCACCGGTTGGACCTGCTTTAGCTAGACCGAAGTCCGAAAGTTTAGCGTTGAATTCCTGCGATTATGATCAATATGGAAGGTATGTTAGAAATGATGTGAAATGTCAAACAACGAGGTGAAGATAAGTTTACTAATCAGGTTTCGGGTTTATTACAGCGTCGAGTAGAATGTTAGCAGCTTTGAAGTCCCTATATATCACTTGTGATTTTGCGTCGTGGAGAAAAGTAAGCCCCTTGGCTGCTCCTATTGCAACTTTCATCCTTATCGCCCATGTAAGTGGCTGCGCACCACCTGCGATGTCATTAGATAGAGATCATATAAAACAAGGTATAAAGAACCTAAGATGTGTCAATTTTAAACAGGACTTTGCTCGAAAATCGCAGGTTCACATACGTCTAAAAAGATGATTCTCCAAGCTTCCTTTTGGCATGAACTCGTAAACCAATAACCGGTTTTCGCCCTCCACGCAATACCCAACTAGTTTGACAAGATTTGGATGACTAAGCTGACCAAGATAGTTCACTTCAGTCTGA